CCGTACAGGGAAGCTTTTTAAAAACTTATTTTGAGGTTACCCCTTTCACTGTTTGTTTACCCTGGCCAAATTTGTCTCAAAAGGAAATCTGTTGCGTGTACTCATTCATTGCTGGTGCGTGTAAAAGACCGTCTTCATGAACGTTCAGAGAAAGAGAAAAGCAAGCACAAAGTCCCGTCTCTGTTGTGGTATAACAACCTCTAATGGAAGTAGAAACTTAGTATTTGTAGTCTTTTTACCGTTTTGATGCTTGGTTTATCAGTTTGTATGTTACATCCGGTTCTCTACCAGACCCTTTCAGTATTTCAGGCAAGGAAAGCTAAGTAACCAGTTCTATGACGTTTTCATGGGGCCCAATCCTGTTCAAATTCCAACGAGACAGATGGACAGTAGTTTCTAATAGTGCTCAGTTTGATGTCCGTTTCAGTCATATTGGTAGGATAGTTTAAGTGCAAGCACCGACGGGGAAAGCAAAGTGTGAATGAAAGTATTTTCCTTTATTGCGGATACAAGTTTGGACAATAGTAGTTTTATTCAGGTTTAAACATAAATACAAATGACAGAAGCATAATTAAAGCTAAATTATAGAAGCATAATATAAACTATATGATAGAAGCACAATGAAAACTAAATTATGGAAAACATAATAGAAACTATATGATAGAAACATAATGAAAGTAACATGTCTAGCACTTTAAATCCAGCTTAGTATGTATTTACACCATGAAAGCCAACCTTGGGACTGAAAAATGAAACAATCTCTGCCGTTCCATAGCCAATGCATGGGGCTTCTGTGTTGCCCGCGAAGTAAGCTTCTATCTTAACAGGTTCTTTGGTATTCGTATTGTACATGCGTTGAAATAAAGACCTTATCCTTTTCTGTAACCGGTCCTTCCAATAATATCTATCATCCTTAAAGTCTTGTAATTCCAAAAAAAATGTGTTTTTCAGAATAAAACCTTTCGGGGAAGGAATTTTAAAGAACAATTTATCAAAATACTGAAATCTGTTCTGGATATCTCTCGGTGCCCACTTCTCCACTTTGAGGGAACTAAGAACCATCTTACAGGCCAGAAACACTTGCCTCTGGTCGTCAGTCAGATTCTTCATGATTTCATTCTCTGCCTTTGCGAAGGAGAACCTCCACTCGCCGTTGCCAATGCTGTTGATGTAGACTGACTTCAGGTGAGGCGGTGTAAGAGGGGGCCTCGGCAGATCTGCTGGCCAGGGAGCCTCCATGGTGGGTACGATATCCACATCCACCAACAGTAAAGGATACTCTTTACCCATCCAGGCAAGTCTGAGTCCCACTCCAACTTGAGTCCTTTTTACCCCAGGCGGAATAAATGAAATTCTTTCATCTTCAGGTTCAAAGTCTGAAACGCACTCCGTAACAGTGCCATAGAATGTGTCTAAAAAGCAATTTCCTTTAAGAAAATTCCTGATGTCGGCGTCAGTTGATGATACAGTGATTTTTGTCGTACAACCACTATAGTTTTGTTCTATCTTGTCCAAAGCGACTTGCAGGCCTTTATTTGGATAACCACTTAGGTTGCTTAATACAATGTTACAGTCAAATTCATCGGGACAAAAAAGTCTTACATTGTCTGCCGAACTTCCTAGCATTAAAAGTTCCCCACTGAACCAAGGATTTTTCTTTGCAACTGCATTTTTTACACAGTCCACCAAGTTGAATACAGCTGTTTGTATATCTTTAGCTTCTCCTCGTAAATGATTGACATGAACTTTTTCTATTGCTTTGCCCATGCCATATACGTGCCATTTGCTCTCCAGTTCTTTTAAATGAAATTCTATTTTTTTAGAAGCAGTGTTCGTTTCCTTCATGTCTAAGTTTGATAGAGATTTTATGTCTACTTCATATAGCTTCAGGTAGTCATTATAACGATCTATTAGGTTCATAGCTGTCAACCCATATTTATTCACTTGTTCTGTCCTTAAAAAGTCCCCCAGATTCTTGTGGCCGTACATGCAGGCATAGTGTGCAGGTGTGTTGCCGAAACGGTCCTTTGCCTCAACCGAAGCTCCGTGACTGACGAGGTACCTGGCTGCGGAAGCGTTGTTCTTCAGAGCGGCGTAATGCAAGGGCGATGCCCGACACACTTCCAGTTCTTGATCGACCTTCTGGCCTCCCACTTGCACCAGGAGATGAAGAAATAGTGGAAACGCCTTTTCACAACTAAGAATTGTTGCTTTCTCTAGGATTTTGCTAAAGGTGTTTATTTGCTTAACATTTTCAGAATTACTTAGCTGTAAACTGGACGCAGAATACCTTGATTGGCCCTCTCCGATCAGCTCCAAAAGGTGTGAGCAAATGACAGTCCCAAAACTAGCTTCTGATTCTTTATCTTCACAGAATGCTATATCCGTTTTTGTGATGATGTTAGCCAGTGCTACCAACCAGTCATCACTACTGGATAATTCATCATATAACTCGAGCCCGTTTTGCATACCCTGAGAAGAACGTGTACTTTTTCGTAAATATTCTGAAGAGTATAATGCAAAAAAGAGTAATATGAACTGCTTAGTTTCCTCCTTCTTCCCAAGTTCACGAGTTCTTTCGAGTTCTTCATCCAAAAGGCGATATTGCTGTGCTACAGAAGCCTGCAAAAGTAAGAGACATGCGCTACATATATAAACACACACACACACACACACATAGATATCTAGATAGATAAACTGATAGATAAATAGATGGATAGACAGATATAATTATATATATATATATTCCAGTCAAATAAATCGATACCTTGAGTAGTTGGCTTCTCGTATCGTCCGATATCAAATCGACTGGCAGTCTGCCTTCATTATCTGGTAGGAAGAGGTTCGCCCCCATGTGCAGGACGAGGGCGACGGCCGTGTCGAGTTGTCCACTGTCAAGGGCGCCGTGCAGGGCCGTTTCCCCCTTCTCGTTCTGTGCCACAGCGCTGCCTCCGCTGTGCCAGATCCACCAGGCAAGCGTGGTTGCTCCGCTGGCACAGGCTCGGAACAGCAGACGACTGAGGATGGTGGAAGGGTCTTCAAGGACGCTGACCTTTGCATTCCAGGGCTTCTCTCCCTGCAGCAACTCCAACAAAATGTCTATTTCCGACCGCAATCGGGAATCTGGATCTAGGAGCGTCTTCTCATACCGGAGTTTGTGCACTGCAGCCTTTGGTGGCAGGATAAAGATATAAGTAAAATTAGTTATTTCTGGACAAAAAAGAAAAAAAAAAATGTAGAGCAAGAAGAAGAAAAGGATTATTCACAGCACTTTTGGATTTCCATATAATATATATATGTATATATATATATATATATATATATATGTATATATATTTTATATATATATATGTATATATATATATATATATATATATATATATATATATATATATATATATATATATATATATATATATATATATAATATATAAAGATTCACGAAATGAAACGAGGAACTAAGAAAATGTCAGGTTACACCCACTGTTTCTATTACATCAAGGGGGATATAGATTAAAACTGTCAATACGTTCCAAAAATATATAACTCAACAGATAGTGCCTGTGACCATTAAGGAGCATACCGGATAGAACATGTAGTGGTTTATGCATATTTCTTTCTTTCTATTTTTATGGTAATATCTAGGATCTTACCCTTTGAATATGAATATGTATCAAAGTTGAATCATTTTGCAATGCAAGGCAGTTATAAAAGAATATAATTCTGATAATACTTATACTGTACTAAACTAGAATTCCCATCACATAAGTTTTTGTTTTTTCTTTCTTCATATATAGGAGAGGAGGTCCTATTCTTTGTTAATACAAGAACGCTCTAGCATACTGAACTCACTGAGTATACGTATGTGATTTTTAATTGGAAAATGGAAAGGTAAACTTGTTTCTTTCTATAGTATTCATTTAGAATTGGAATACTTATGCCCTTCATATACAGGAATATCTCCTGAGTATGAAGAACAAATATGGCTACTCAGTTGTTGTAAATCTAACACAAAATACGACTAGTTGTTTCTGCCAGATTTTTAAAAATCCTAATATCATGAATACCCCAACTTTACTTCCCTGTTACTTACCCTTGTAACAACGACACCGACCCAGGTTGTGACATCTGGGGTTATCCATGCTGTCTCCACTGGACCTAAGCCGTTACTGGACGACGTCAAAGGCGCCCCAGCAGCCAGCAGCAGCGACAGCAGGGGAGTGCAGTTGGTTGTGATGGCATGGTGGAGTGGGTAGCAGGAGTGACATCCTGGAGGCTCTAAAGGAGCTCCAGAAGCCAACAGTGCAGAGGCCTTCTTCACGGCTGCCAGGCGGGCTTCCTGCTCCTTATCATCTTGGTCAAAGGTACGTTGTGCTGCTGCTGTTATCAAGTTCATCAAATCATTGTATGCTAGTTCGCCTTTACACCCCTGTACGAAAAAAATATGCAATACTTACTCAGTATCACATTTTAACAACATACAAGTATATATACATAAACCTTTAAATATACATTTGCATCTGCATATACAGTACATTTACATATGCCATACGTGTGTGTGTAAATACCTTCATAGCTTTGCTTATTCCACTTTCTATGTCTTTTGCAGCCTCCGGTGGCCCTTCTCCCGGGCGAGGTCCGAGGGCGTCTTGCCGTCGTGGGTGCGGGCGGTGGGCAGGGCGCCGCGCTCCAGCAGGACCCCGATTTTGGGTCGGTCGCCCAGCTCCGCCGCCACGTGGAGCAGCGTCCGGCCCCGCTCGTCCTGGTAGTGCATGTCGCAGACGCCGAAGTCAACGGCAGTGGCCAAGGCTTCCGCGCTCGCGTTCTTCTCTCTGCAGTAAGCGTGGTAGAAGTCTCCGCTCTTCTTGTATTGTCTCATACAAATATTCTGAAATGAAGGTAATCGGCTGTATATTATTCATTTGAATTTTTACTGTTCTGTGAATTAATATGTCATTCGCATTACAAGTCATGATCTATTGCGCATGTGAGTCATTTACCATTAAGTGCTTCTGATCTTGGAAAGAAGCTCGATGTGCATTCTTGTTGAGCCACCAGGCTGTGTGAACATGGCCGCGGATGAGAGCTGTGTCTTCTGCACTCAATTTCTCCTTGTCAAGTGTGTTGACAAGAGTTTTTTCTAGTTCAACAAGTTTCTGGACAGTGGACAGCCTTCCATAGAAGGAAGCCTTGTGAAGGACTGAGAGTCCCATGTCTGTCCGAATGTTTATGTCTGCTCTCTCTTCCACCAGCAGCTCGACTACCGAAGTGTGTCCGCAAAGAGCGGCATAATGAAGAGGTGTGGTACTTCGCTCGTCTTTAGCATTGGGATCGGCTCCATGAAGGATCAACACTTTGACCAAAACAGCGTCACCTGTGAGAGCAGCATAATGCAAAGCTGTGTGGTGGGTAGGCGTTTCCCTTTTAACGTCTGCTTTTTTCATTAGCAGCAACTTGACAATTTCTGTATGGCCCGCCAGTGATGCACAGTGGAGGGGTGTATTGCCCTTGGGTGAAATAGTTTCCGGGTTCTTAAGAACATCTAACATAGGCTTTTTCCCTCCATGTCTTGCATATGCAAGAAGTGTTTTATTTGTTGCACTTGAATTATTTACATCAACTCCTTCCCAGTTAGAAAATATTTTCACAACATCGATCTTTCCATTTATTGCAGCAAGATGAAGAGGAGTGTCACCAGTAGCATTAGAGGGATTCGGGTCACATTGCTTATGCAGTAGTAATTCTACAACTTCGGTATGTCCTTCATAGGCTGCATAGTGAAGTGGGGTGTTCTTGGTGGCACTGGTTAAAGCAGAGAGATCTTCGCCTTTTTCTGACAGTTTAAGCACCTCGTCAGCACGCCCGTTTCTTGCCGCCTTGTGCATGAGGCCCATGTTCTTCGCTTCCAATATTTCTTTACCCTCAGTCATTGCGATAGCATTGTGTGCCACAAGATATGACAAATCATTTTCCATGATTTCTCCTTGTGGCTTAGATAAGGGCCCGCACTTGCTATTATTTGATTCTACTTCACTATCTCCACTGGAACTCTCAAGCACAATAGGATGAATATGATCTGCAAATGGCAAAATATGAATTTAGGTACCATAGTGTCAAAGTACAAGTCCACCATGTGAGCTGAAAATTGGACAGGAAAAGATTAAGAAAGTGCAGAAATTTAATTATTTGGGAAGCATGGTGAGTGAAGATGGTCGATGTGACACTGAAATTAGAAAGCATATCGGAATAGCAAAAGACACTTTTCAAAAGCTTGGTACAGTTTTATTAAAACAAAAGTTAGAGTATTGGACTGTTACGTCAATTCGGTTTTACTATATGGCAGTGAATGCTGGACAATATCAGCGCAAATGGAAAAAAGGCTGGAGGCCACAGAGATGTGGTTCTTTAGGAGAATGCTACGAATTTCATGGACCGACCACGTGACCAATCAGGAAATACTGCAAAGAGTGGGACAAAAGAAAACACTGATGATGACACTCAGAAGGCAGCTAAAATTTCTAGGTCATGTCATGAGAAAAGAGGGCATGGAAAATTTGACATTGACTGGGCGTATTGAAGGAATGCGAAGCAGGGGAAGGCAGCGACTGACACTCATGGGCAGTTTGTCTGGATGGTTGGGACAGTATGTCAATAGTGAGAAGGTTACAGTGAAGGAATTGTTTAGGATGACTAGAGACAGACAGGCTTGGAAATCATTGATCGCCGACGTCCACTGTGGATATGGTACCTGATGAGAGAGAGAGAGTATCAAAGTACCCCTAAAATAGGATAATTCATGATGACTGTTGCGTGTACATATAAAAGGTTATGTTTAGTCATTGTCCATGCTTCTCCCACCCCTAATATATATAGACAAATTGTATTTCGCCATAAACTTAACTGACATTATATTTACAAAGCCCCAAGACAATTAAAAACATTAGACCTATATACAGTCTCATATTCCTCAATATGTTACCATTTACAACAGAGGTATTAACTAAGTGAAAATCAGTTGGCCTGTTAATTGTACCGTGTAGTGGGATGCATACAGCTGAAACTTATACGCTACCAGCTCCAAAACACGTTATTACACATGGACCCTAAATATCCCAGTTATTACCTTTGGCTGCTGGGCCACCTCAAGAACACCTCACTCTCTCTGTAAGCCAACTGCTAACTGTTGCTGATTGCCAAGCTAATGACCTTGCAATTACTTATAGCTCTTGATGCATGTAGAGTTTTCTACAATTCCTGACGTCCATCAGGAGGTAGTTATACTTGCGTTTAAATATCAGTACATAACAATTTCATTTTGGTGGTCCTGTTATACCCTAACTAAATCCTTCATCACAAATGAATTTTATCTTTTTACACAGTCCAAGGTAATGCCCATGCTATGTTATGCAGGTTTTTGCCACTTCATTCACCACATATGGACCACCCTTAGTAGTAATATTGCTCGTCCTCACCTCCAGATTCCCTAGAAACATTTTTTGTGCTTAAGATGCTCCCCTCCGAACTTGACACGCTGGCAGCTGTGACTTCTTCATGGTCCTCGCCAAATGATGTATGGTCATTTTCCGCTTCATTATGTCTGTCCGTAGTATCGCTTTCCTCAACTTCAACTTGTAACACATCTTGTATGGGAGGAAATGTATTGTTACTTTGTGATTACATCAGTGAATTCGAAGTATAAGCATAAAAGTTCAAAATATGAATGTTTTATAGAAAGTCTTTTTAATTCAAAATGCATAGACCTAAAATTGAATAAGTAAAGAACATGTTCCATGCTCATATTTAGTTCAATTAACAAATATAAATGTATATTTAAACATGCTACAGGACGATGTTCTTGATTCATATTGTATACAAATTACAATAAAATAACAGTAGAATTCTTTATTCCTCTCTTTTCTTGCTAGATCCCTTTCCTCAAAATCCTTTTATTCATTATGTTTTCCATTCTTTTTATCATCCTCTTTCCGTATTAAGCACCTTTTCCTCCTTATTCCATTTTTAAAAAAATTCTCCTTGTCCTCCCTTTCCTCCTTGTCCTTCCCTCTCCTTGTGTATGCACGCATGTGTACAGGAAAGTGTGGGATAAAAAAACAAAAGGATATGGAGAAAAAAAAAAAGAAATTAGGAAAGCGAGTATACACATGTGTATATGCACTTGTGTACACGAGCATTCCCAATTTCTTTACATATTCTCCTTATACACACAGGTATATACACATATGTACACATGCATATATACACATGTAGACCTGCATACACATGCATATACACGAGGATGTATCAAATATGTAGTTGATCTCCTTGGCTACAGAGTCCGTATTACTGCATCATATCCAGAAATAAAGGTTGGAGCACTTGTACCAGGGGCTAGAAATCTTCAATCTCTGGGACCTAACAAAGTCCAGAGACTATTTTCACTACTGGGATCAGCTCCTGAGCCATGAGGGACCAACAGACATCTTGTGGCGAGCTCGATCACAACTGGATACCACTCTGTGACTGTCTCACCGGGAACAGTTGTCTGCCACAGATGTGAGTTTGGCATAAAAAGCCATCACATCGAGTTTACAAACATCAGTTAGAGCATATATGGCAATAAAAGACATGAAGCCAAAAAACATATTTCAGCTCCAATGCCATATTGTGCTCATCAACGGGAGTAACCTACACTACCGAAGGTTGGAGTTGCCTAGAGATTGCTATGGTTACTCCCTGGAGATGGTGACCATCGCTCCACCCGACTAGTAGTAAGTGGTCTTACCCACATTATTCCACTACCATTTCTTGTTACCTTAATTTTTAGGGGCAACCGATCATACTGTCATGAAGACCGGATTTTCTATGCTTTTATCTGGAATCCCACTTGAGGTCAAACCTCAGGCAATTACTCCGGGTAGATGCCACCTCTGCCATCTCCGCCGATGTTGCCCCATGCAAAGGGGCTGTGGGGTGCATGGCCCGACGTCCACCTATGGGGCTCCCTAGGGTTTTGCCCGACAGTTTTTTCATCGGGCTAATGGTGTCGATCCTCACCTTCAGATCCTCCAAGGTTATCAATCCTATTTCTATCCAAACTCGATTCGGTGTCGACTGGGCCTTCATCTTGATCTTCATGAACATTTTCAGCAATAACTTCATCTATTTTAAGGGACACATAGCCGTCATGTTGATCGATATCTAAGAAAAGAAGAAATGTACAATTAGTTAATCTGCAAACCTTACTTATTTATGGCCGTTACACAAAAAGTAATCAAGCATTATAGGTTCGGTGTAATTAGGGTTGCCAACCGTCCCTTAAGATAAGGTATCGTTCAGAATTTGGAAATTAAATGAAGTAGTACTTGCAGCAAAGTTTGGGAAAATTGGGAAACTTCTGAACTGCAATAAAACGACGTTTTATTGAATGAGGTTGTTATTTAGTGAACTTTTCGTCTGAAGAGATACACATTGAAAAAATTACATTCAAAATAAAATTAATAGATTAGTATATACGAGTCAGAAATGGTGGAAGGTGTAATTTTTTAGGGTTCTGTCTGTAGATATGAGTACATCTCGGCAATTTTGAGGGTTTTACCCCTCCAGCTTGAAACTGAATATTCACATACTTAGTTTTATACTTCAAATATTTTTTGAGGTTCACTTACATTGTTTTTATTCTAAAAGGCTGAAAAAAAATACTACACTACTTTGGATTTTAGTTGGTTACAAAATTCAACTGTTCTTTGGACAGAAG